AAGGAATTAATTGTGAGATCTATTGTTGTTTATGCAAATTGTGGTCGACCCAAAGGAAGGTCACAATTTGGTCAAATAACAAATACACTTACAATTATAGAATTAATTATTGATATCTGAATATTGTGCGCTACAATTAGTGATCCGTAGCCTATATTGAGTTGTTGATGAGTTAAAATATCAATAAAATTCCTTTTGTTAGGCAATCAGTTTTGATTGTTGTTCCTGTATTTATAAATTGTTTAGAGGACTTTTCTCATTATTAAATTATGCATATAAAGATATTATTATTAATTTTGAAAATAACTTTGATAATTTTATTTTCATAAAGATAAAATTAATAATAATTAAAGTTACATATGTTGCATAATTGTCTGATTATTTTGGTTGGTGTTAATTTGATGAATCATGCCGCCAAAGTAGCCTCTGATTTCTGATATTGATATCTTTCAAAATTATCAGATGTTTGTGGGTCTGTATATTTATGCACTCTATAGTCGGCTCAAAGGAAGACTTTAGTTTGGCCAAATAACAGGTTCACATGTAGTTAGATGATGATAAACATGGATAATATAAAGTTTTGCCATGTGAGTGATTGTCGGCCCAAAGGAAGGCTTTCTGTTGATAGGATTGGTTATCAATGTTTGATCACCACATTGAGTGTACCACTTGCAATTTGATATTGTCGGCCCCAAAGGAAGACTATCAATATTGTGCTAGGTATCTTGTTGTCCTTGTTGAGTTTAAATATAATGTATTTTTATAAATACTTAAGGTTAATTTCGAGCATGTTTCATTATTAAATCAGTCGTTGTTAAATATTAATTCATTGTTGCCTTATTATGAATTTAAGAAATATTTTATTTGATTTAAGTTGCATCAATTTTTAAAGTTTAAAGGAAATATTTATACTTTTCACTAAGCAGTATTTCTCTAAGGTTACATGGAATCTGGGAGAAACCTGTGGATGAGAAGATAATTAAGAAGTTCCTTAAAGGGTAAAGATTTCTGAAAAGAACAAAAGGAATAGAATTTAAATTTGTGATAAAGAATAAAGGAATACTAGTGAGTACACTAAAGGATCAAATGCACAAAATTTAAAACATTCAAGGATTTACTTGTATTTGATACTTATTTGAGACATTATACAATCAGTTGTAGTGGTATGTAATGGGTTATGATAGTTATACGGGTAGATATTGAACTATTAATAACCTAATTTTTTACCACATGGTTTTTAGGAAAACGAGGTAAGTAAGACAATACAAACTGTACTATTTAATTAATTATTTCCTTGAAGAAAGAAATTAAAGTTGGTACTAAGGTTTATTTGGAAAAGGTTTATTTGGAGCATATGTTTGCCTAAATCACAAAGAATCGATCTTAGGACTTCTCTTGATATTTTTTTTAGGAAATATAAACATATAAGGAAAAAAATAGGTTTCAAATACATTGTCACATAAGGTATAAAGAAAATTTCTATTCATTACTTGTTCGCTCTCGAGATTAAACAGACATTCAAGTCTGTATTAGGAATGATCAAGGGAACATAACTCGAATTGTCAAATTAGATGCTATTGAGACTTTTAGTATTTTAGGACATTAATTTATAGCCTATTCAATATGGCTTCTTTAAATGTTTAACAACATTACATAAAGTTATAAGAAATAATTTACTCTCGTTGAGGGCACCAATATTTGATATAGGAGAGACTTTTATTCCTGGATATCTTAAAAGTCATCATATATCAATTCGTAGTGGATGAAATCGTTATGAAATACGATGGATTGGGAAGATAAGGTCTAGGATATTTGCTAACTCCTTTAAGGATTTATAGAGCTAATAAGTAATATATATTTTCAGGCAAACTTGAGATGTGTTTTGCTTATAAAATGATTCAAAGCTGAAAAGATGTGGTAGGAAGTATGACAATAATTTTTTCCTTACCCTCAGTCTATTTAGAGAAAACACTCAAGATTGTTATAAAAAAGTTTAAGTGGTGTACCAAATAAAGAAACAACTAAATCACTTGCAACTCAAGGTTTTACAAAACTTAGACTTAAGATATTTAGTTGTCAACTCTAGATACACAAGTCTTTTCAATATATATAATTTCCAAAGTTAATTCCCACTTAAAGTTGATGTGGATGAGATTTTAAAGTTTCTTAAGGATGTTGAGTTTGGGGGGAAGATAAAGTAAATAATGTTATATTTAATAGAAATTTAGTTATTTTCTCTTTATAACAATATTAGTAAATAATAAAAATTCTCCTCATTTTAGTAAAACAAACTTAACATCATTAAAAATGTCACTAAGGTAAGTAGAAGAGATATGAGAAATATGATTATAAAGATTTAAGTTTGATAAAAAGAGTATATTCTCTACCGTCAAACAAAGTCTTATCTCTTAAAAGGAAAAATGAATAAAGAATGTGTTGAAACAACAAACAACGAATATATTTTACATTTTGTTATATTGCTTTTAAAAGGCAATGTTAATAAATATAAGGCTCATCTAGTCGTTATACCCATTCAGTGACTTTGGCACTGGACGTTCCAAAAATGGGGTACTATCGGGTCGGGTGAATTCAATAATAGACGYCTGTTGGCATTCCAGCCTTCCTTCTCCTTTCAGGGCCTACCCGAAAGAGAATCCAGTGTTTCTTGGTCGTGAATATCTKAATAGGAMGAACCRCCCCGYGGTTTGCTTCGGAACAAAACAATTAGAATTAGGCTCGGTGAACTGGAATGTGTATTATCCATATAGGKGATCTTTCAATGGAGAAGATCCGTCGACCTAAGACGAAGAGAAAGGTCTATCTATTTTATTTAGTTATTCAGTTAAACCAATGATTCGTTATTGTAACAGATAGCAACAACCATTTCATCCGGCAGGTTTCAATTCTTAAGGCTGACATTAATTTTTAGAGATATTTTCTATAGTTTCCCAAAAAGTTCTTTCAAGTAAATGACACAATACTTATAACCTCTTTGAGTTATGTCAAATGAATATAAAGATTGGTTTCTTAGTTGTATAATTTATGAAATCAATAAGCTCAATTTTGGATACTTTTGATCTAGTAACACAAAGTTTCAAAAGGTTTATATTCATCTGTGATCTCAATGAAGAATTTTTATCTGCAATTTCATAATTTTCATTACATATTGATATTCACTGGTAGAAATCCGGGATTCATTGACAGTTAAAAACTGTCATTACATAATTCATGACAGTTTTTTTTTGTCATCTATTAAGGCATCAAGAAAGAGGAGAAGATGACAAATTTGAAAAACTGTCATCAATGCATTTACAACTACAGTTATACTTTGTCACGAATAGATCTTCCATCACAATTAATAAATGTCACAGAAACTCATTTAATTACAGTTTATAGCTGTCACTAAAACAATGAAAGATTTTATTCTCTTGTCAATAAAAACTTAATGACGACAGTTTATAAATGTCACGAAATATTTTTTAACGACAGTTTATAATTGTCATGAAATGTTTTTTAATGACAGTTCAAAATTGACATGAAATATTTTTTAACGACTGCTGATGAACGTCAAGAAAAACGTAACAATGACTATTTATAATTGTCACAAAAACTTTTGTAGTGATAGTTTTAACGGTCAATATTGACAATTTTAACTATCACAAAAATTTTATATATGACAATTGATTAATTGTGACAATTTTTTTTTGTCACAATTTGTGTTTAATAAATGATTGTAATATTAATAAAAGTTTATATATGATAACTTCATAACAGCCATGAAATACATTTAATAACACTGTACACGTTTCAAAAAAATTATCTATATCTATAAATTATAAAATGTAACAAAGTTGCATATAATAAGATCAAAGTTGGATCAAATTTGTACATTAGGATATTTTATACAAATACTATACTATAAGTCTATGACTACAATAAGAGAATGTCCAACGAACTATATTCACATTACATCAACCTCGTATATGTCAAAAATACGCCGAAACTCTTCCCTATACATTCTCCTTTCTCAAAATGTTGCTCCCACATTTTCTTTCTAACTCCAACATGCATTACGTAATGACACAAATATAAACACTAAGTCTTAATGAGCTATCTTTGCTGCAAGATAGCCACACAAATATGTATTAATGGAAGAGAAAGAAGTATCAATATGAATACATTAGGCAAAAACATCACCCCTAGTGTCAAACAAACATCAATGTCATATTCTTCTTACAACGGTAAGTGATGATTGACAAACACAAAAAATGAGAATATTTGTTATACTTCTATCAAAAGCAACGATGAAGAAGTAAATGTAACAAAAAGAATAACAAAAAAATGTTGTGCGGCCAGAATCAGCATATACATAGAAGTTAGTTTGCTATATGTTTTGTCACTAGAAAAGTCCTTTACAATTGATCAAAGGATTTCATTATCAAAATCAGCAAATAAACATCCTTACTAATTAATCAACATTAACAAAATTATATTTTGCCCTAGAGGAATTTCGTATTTGAAGCCATTTCATTTTATTTCAAAATGACAAATCAATTCAAAAATATAACCCAACATATATTTGAAACTTGATGTAAGGCTTATCTAAATAGGTAACTATATCATAAGTTTTGAATTAACTAGAATAACTTACTTTAAATGCATTTTAATGCTCAAATAGTTAAAAACAGGTAAATAAGATAAGTGACAATTTCTCTAATTTTGAGGTTGTATATCTTGTGATGTAAATTATGGATATTAGAGTATTCGGCTTATCCTTCCTAAGCCACATCAAAGACCCAATGCAATAAATGATATACTCAACGCCTGAATCGAAGTGAGGGACAAAAATTAGAGAAGAAACAGCACAGTTGAAAGATAATTCATCTGTAAGGATATACACAACACTAACAAACAGTGTAAATAATTTTATGATCATACATAATTTAAAAACATAATGGTTACAATAAATCCATTAAAATATAATGGATGACATAAAAATGTACCAAAAAATGTATTAATGATATTTTTCATCATGGCCACATAGTTGGAAAAGCTTATGATCAAGCTTAAGGCATTGCAAATATAGGTATGTCTGTCTACATTTTCTTCAATTCAAAAGCCTAAAGTATTGCAAATCAAACCGAACATGTAAGAGCCGACAAGTGCATTCAATAAAAGGGCCGACAATGTTGATTAGAAAGACAAAATAGTCACTTATCTCAAAGACTCAAATTGAAAATCCATACATTTTCATATAAGAAAACTTTAATTTTTTATTCAATAACCTCATCATCATCTTCAGAAACTGATCACCTACAACGAAACGAGAAATTTTAGTCATCATCAAAACCTCAAGAACAACTTTAATTGCTAAAATCCTAAAAGCTTAAGCTACGCAACCTAAATCTAGAGACTTAAATACAAAATGCTATTGTTTACCTCTTCACGACAAAAATTTAATGACTAACCATGTAAGTGAGTAATCTACCGCAAATATTTCAAAACAACGCAATTTAGAAAAACTACCGCAAGAACTAATTAAACTTTTTTGGATAAGACACGAACTAATTAAACATTCTCTACAATTATAAAATAAAAAATCTGTATTAGATTTTTACCATCTTTCACAATCCTAACCTAAGAGGAGAAAGAGATAGAATTTCGTTCTGATAACAATCCTCATAGCTTTATCTGATTTGCTTAACTCGGATGACAATAGGTTGAAAGCTTAAATGAAAATTTTAATCATTGAAGTGGTTTTCTAGATAGAGAGTCCATAATACAAGATAAGATCACTGGGAAGTTTTGATACTGCATAATACCTCCAATGACCATGATTAAAAGCTACCTTATTAGAGAGAGCAATCCACCAAAAAAGATGGTAATTGTAACTTTCAAACTGATGAAAGCCTATTTCTTTAATATTGACATTAAAGTGATCCTCCAGACCACTTATCCCTGAACTTAAACTTTTAGGTAAAAACTAATTAAGCTTAAGAATTGAACTCAGATGCCGAATCCAATTAGTAACCATCATTGATTCTTTATAGAAATCTCTTCTCTACCACACATCCAACCAATCACGTGACTAAAAAAAAAAAAGGCACAACTGAAGAGACATGGAAGATAATTTTCTCAAGTTTGGCACAGTTACAGAGTAGCACATTTCAGAGTAGAAAGAGGAGAAAAATTATTTACCCAGACAGTCTGCCACGAACAACAATATGTTGTTTACCTCTTCAATTACTAAAAATCGTAAAAGTAAGCTACACAACCTAAATCGAGAGACTTGAATACAAAATTCTAATTTACAAAGTGAGCAGAATCTAACAGTATCAGTTGAGATTATATTGCAATGCCTTAAAACACCAAGAAAATAATGAAATAGACTGAAAATAAATTTTCCAGATCAACATCTAATAAGAGTGCAACAACCCTACCATCGATTCGCCGAATAAACAACAACCCTACCACCGAATGCTCCTTGCCGCCGTTAAAGAAGCCGCACGCACTTATGGCTTCTCTCTCTTCCATCGTTTTGAACTTCGAATCTTTGAATTTTTTTTCCCCTTTTTGCAGGGTTTAGATGCTCATTCCTACTTTGAAGAAGAAGATTAATTAGTAAGAATTAAAAATTAATCATAATTATTAAACAAACAGTTTTTTCTCTCTCACTTTTGAAAACTAAACAATAACATACAAAAAAATCCCGTTCGCTCCACAATGAACAACACGAACAAGGGAGAAAAAAATACAAAAAAAAATGAAGTTACTCTTAAATCTCGACTACAAGATCATGCACGATATTACTAACAAAACCAAACATAAAAATCCACCGCCGATTCCGACCAAAACTTTTCGCCGCCGTTCAAGGATCTAAACTCTCACACTGAACCAGAAAACAACTTAAAAAGTAAAATCAAACCAACAAAATAATCGGTTAAAACTCGGCATTTTCACAAACCTTCGAGGGACTTTGTTTTCAAAGCAAACAGTAATTTACAAGCAAAAACGGACAGAAAATGAACAGAAAACTGAGTAAAAGATCACGATTCACGACCTAGAACAGAAATAACTTCCTTCCAATCCACAGTACTGCACACGAAACGACTCCCAAAAGGAGCTGCACGCACTGTTGGGCCGTCAAAGAATGCCAGATCTGGGCGTTTGTTGCTGTCGCACCACCGCCGAAAACGCTACAGCTTGAGGGTTACGCCGCCATGGGGTTCGTTCGCATCGCCGTCCGCTGGGAAATACTGTCGTGGAGTCGCCGCCGATGATAAAGAAGAATGAGGCTGCTATGAAGGAAGAAGAAGAAGAATGAGACTACTATGGAGGAAGAAGAAGCTTCTTAAGAATGGGACTACACGTGAAAGGAAGGGGAAATAGATGGGGGCTAGGGTTTCCTTCATTTTTTTTCCTTTTTATTTTTTTTCCTTTTTCTTTTTCTTTTATTTATTTTACCAAAAAGAAATGGTTCCAATTAAACCAAAATAGCAACACAAAGTAATGTTTAAGGTCTTATTAAAAAAAAGAACAACGTTCCATAATCCTTTCCCAATAAGAACTCTCTCTAAAAATGATTTAGAAAATTTATCTAGAAGATTAACTAAATTTAAAACCCAAAATTAGAACTTCGATATTAGAAAATCCATGAAATTAAATATCAGCTTAGAGGAAAAATCCAAGGGCACAAATAAGTCTTAAAATAAACGAGCCAGAGAATGCAGGTGTTACATAAAATGTGAGAATTTCAAAAAGTGAAAAGTATACGTCTACAAAGGCAATGACAATTTCTAGTAGTAAAAATGATATTCGAATAAAAAAATTTCAGTTCAGTTGAACTGGTTAATTTGTGTAAACCAAAAAATCAAACTCAATCATCCAATGAACATCCAAATAATTAAATTTAATTATATTCTTTTCAAATTATTTTTGTTCCAAACAAGATAAAGAATTTTCAATCATATCTCTAACTTTAAATCACGAAATTTAAAATCATTTCTTGAACATTCTTGCCAGCAAACGAGGATAAGAGAAAGTATTGAATTCTTGCAAAAATAAAAAATAAAAAATAAAAATACACACAAAATAAATAATAAAATTCAATTCTATTTATTGAGATGATCTCCGACAAGACGCCCGACAATGGCTTAACGGTCATCCGACCGCCCATAAAACGCGACGTTTTGTTTGATTAATGTGTTATTCAACACTCCTGCAGACATCTTTGCGTAGGTTGGCTCTAACCTTGTAGGTTGGTCGATAAAACATAATGAACAGTTTAGCTCATCAAAGCATTCCAACCTAAAGAGACTTGCACATAGTATCATGATCAAAGATATTCTTAAATAACAATACCTTTCTTTTGTCGATACGTTGCCGACGATAAATAGTCTCCAACAAACCTAATTAGTTCCAATTTAAACCCAAAATAATTCCTAAGCATTCGATTAAGTTGACTACCTTTTATTCCAATAAAAAAATATAATTTAAATATGAATATTTTATTTACGAAATGCTTGGTGAAACTAGAATTAACCTATATTATTTTTATAAAAATATATTAATAGAGGGTTGAAAAAATAATTTAAATTCATAGGGCTCAAACTCAGGACCGAAGAGAGGAAGGACACAATTACGCAGGATAAGCATACCACTATACCAAAATCATTTTCTACTTGTTTCATGGAGTATTTGGGGAAACTATTAAGCATAAATCTATACTCGATACGACCGGATAATCCCAAAATAATTAATATCGTTAACTAAGCTGCAGTTTTTTCGACAGAAATGAACCGCGCTCAAAATCATTTGTTTTTGTATGTCATATATTTTCAAGAGGGTCTATGTAATTGTCATGGAATACTTGAAATTCTTTTTATTTTTCTTGACAATTATAAAATGTCATAAAAGCATGAAAATTTTCGTAAATTGCCGTTTTTTCCCGCCCAAAATCGCGCCTCCACCATTTCGTAACAGTTTTTCACCGCCCAAAATAGCTCCCAAAATTCGATTTTCGTGACAGTTTTTAACCGTCATAAAACTTACAAAATCTGAAAAATAGCGTTTTTCCCGCCAAAAACTCACCCCATCATTTATGATAGTTTTTTTTCCTCCAAACTTGTTTACTGTTCACAACTGTCTTGGAAGACCACTTTTCTACTGGTGATTATCATATGTAGTATCGGAAGGTAATAAGAGTAATAATTATGAATTACATAGTGGGAGTAAATTTATTTACCTAGTGTAATATGTCTGCGACATAATAAAGGCTTAGTTAGAGGATGAAAACTTGCATGAACATATCTCTTTATATTGTGAAATGATATTGTAAGATTAATCTCAAGTAATATTCAGAATTCACAAAAAGAACTATGTTGAAAGGTATCGCAAGTTCTCTAGCATAAATATTTATGCACTAAGGGATATTGAAATTGCTAGTGGTAATAAGCTCACTTTCAATAAAGGTCCCTTGAATAATAAAGTAAAATAAAAAAATTCATGCTTAAAGTCTATATGCTTCCGTTGGAGTATTCATATCAAGAATATGAAAGACAATTTTTAATAACTCTTAATTGGATCTAAAAAGTTATAGGGTGCTTAACACAAAAAAACAAAAAAACAAAAAAATTAGATGCTCACTCATCAAAATCATATTAATTTGAGATCATAAAACTATTTGATTTTGATAATTTGAGTTGCCATCTAGATCCACCTTTGAAGCTATATTCACTAATAGGTTAAAGAATGCTACTATCTCGTGGTAGAGAGTCAGTTTAGTCTCTTTCACCACTAAAGTTTGTGTTCATAGCATTTTGTATGTGGCACAAACTTAAGAATATGGTTGTCAAATTTTGTCATTAGGTTGTTTTGACAAAAATTTGTATTTTTCCATATTACGGCAACAAAAGCTTTTGTATGAATATTTAAGATTTAATTGATAAAGAAAATTCAGGGTATTTTTGTTTAAAGAAATACAACTCCATCATTGCAGATCCGCTCAGAAAATTATGGTATGTCAGTTGAGTGAGAGCTTGTGTTTTCTTAAATTAGACATGTGGTTTTTCTTTCCTGCAGAATAAAGAAGATGATTTATTTTGTTACTCTAAATTATTTTCTTTCTAAATGTAGTTTAACAAAAAGCTAGAAAGCATAAATTTTAATCTCTTTAAAATATAAAGTTGGACCAGTTGGGAATAGACATGTTTAGATCACATCAGATGTAATTCTCATGCTACTCTTCCACACTTTGATCCATGTTATTGAGTATATTTGGTGTGGTGATCATTGAAGGTTAAGTTGCGACTATACATGTAACAGAAGCTGCTTTGGTCCCTCATTGATATGCGAGATGGACCAGATTGTTATTAAACGGAAGTTTATTTTAATAGCGTTGAGTTGTGCACTAAAGAATAAATTAATATAATTGCTAGTAAAGAAAATTGTTATCCAAGTGAGAGATTGTTGGAATTAATTTAATAATTAATTCATATGTGGGTAACAAATTAAAGAGCAATTATATTTGGGCTATTTAATGGGCATATGAGTTGTAACGCCCCGAGTCCCTCAGGTTAGTTACTCTCGAATCAAGAGATTTTTCATTTAATTTTTAAATTAATTGTTAATTAAATTTATACATATTTATCGGGCTCTAAACTCCAATTAAAGTTATATTTACCGGACTTCGTGTAGTGGGTCTTGTTTTAAGATGGAATGGATTTCTTTTCTCTTGGGCTTGGACTTTTTGGGCCTTTATTGGGTTAAGTTGGTTTTAAAACAAAGGAAAAGAGGAAAAATAAAACAAAAAGGACTTCATCTTCTTCTTCTTTTCTCCCTTGTTGCCCTAGTCGTCACCCACCCCTCCTCTTCTTC